TCGTCGCTTATTTTTGCTTTGGCACCACAGCGCCACTTACAGGCCTGGCATACATTTTGCAGCGTTTTCATGCATTCGTGTGGACGCTCACATTTATTTTGCGTCTCCGTTTTTACGGCAAACGTTTTGGAAAATATCAGCGTTTCGTGTTCGTTTTGACTTCGTGTGGACGGGGCCTCACTGTTCCTCAGCAGAAGGCTGCTTTTTTTCCTCTCCACTGTCACTGCATGCATGCTTGGTGTGAGAGATTGCCGAAAAAATCAACAAAAAGGAATCTGCTGGATTTCCTTTAACCAATCTGTCTTTATGATCTAATTGAAGGGATTCTGTAAAGCTCCTTAAGATGACATTTACAGTAAACCGGTAGGAGTCCATCAGGATTCCTAAACTTGTGAATATGTGCAGAGTTTTCCAGCTCTGTGATTGATTGTGAGGACATATCTTGTCCACAGCCCTCTTCATGAGACCTCCCTCTACTTCTTCTGACAGATTTAGTTATGAAATCTGATTTTTTCGATCCAGAGGTCTAATCCTCTCTAATAAAATCCTCCTTACTGATTAGGATCTATGTTTCTACTAATGAGGATAAATGAGTAAAAGCCTGTTCAGCCTTCTAGATTTATGATAGTGTTGGTGGAGCATGTTCTTTTTCCGGGTGGATCATCAAAATAAGTGGTCCTCCTAATTGTCAGTCATTCTGGTGATATTTTACATAAGGCTGTCATATGTGCTTGTCCCCATTCTCACTTACCATTTGTGAGTCTGATATAGTGGAAAAATTGCAAATCTTCTTTAGGTAAGTAAGCTTGTATGAGCGATGCATAGAGCAACTTTTAAACAGAGCGTGCACGAGGAGAAATGGACTCGTGCACGCTCTCGCACCTGTTTAATAGGTGTTCCCTCCAAGGAGCGGGTACAGGGTTGTGCATTTCCTTCTTTTTTTTTTAAAGTGGAGAGGGCAGGTCTTTTAAAAAAATTCACGAAAATCTTTCTCTATACCTTTAATCTAAATTAATGAAAAACCGCAGTCCATCCCAACAAAAAACCACAGGTAATATGCTGTTCATTTGCTAATGTTTGAAGCTGATTTTGTGGCCTAGTTCAAGTTTGGTTCCAGCTGACTACAGTGCACATTATTGCTAGGTTTCTGGAGAATAAACCAGGCCAGGAGTGTGCATGTATGTGCTAGAAAATAGTTCTGTATAATTTAATCATTCTCCTTATCCCAAACACATCAGCAGGAGATTGCATCTCCACATAAGCTACGACTTTAATTGTAAGCTACAGGATTATGTATGCCCACTGCAGCTGTAGATATTTAGAGTACAACAGTGATAAATAACAGGTTCTGGTTGGCTTTCTAGCTGATGATATATTTTAAAGGAACAAGATGTTTACAAGTTTGGGTGAGGCCAGTTGCTTCTCATTATCTAGCCTTAAAATGACCCACTAGCCCTGCTGTTTTAGAACCAGGCAAAAGAAAAACATTATCTGATTATTTAAAAAAAAAAAGAGTCCTATGAGGCCATCTATAAGGCTTACAATTGTATGTAGAGATGGTGTTGACATTTAAAACTCAAAGTGGTCTATTTCTAGAGTATCCATTATACCACCCACCATTATTTAGGCCTCTCTTTGTTGAATCAGTCAGTTTACTTTGGGCTGTGGTCCTCTGGAAACAGAGCAGGCAGTTATGAAAGGTCTGGCGCCGGACCCAATCAGGTCAGATGTGTGAAACAGGAGGAGCCGTGAAGATGGGTTTGTGGGGGAAGGGGGACCAACAGCTGAAACAGTCAGCCAGGCATGGGTCAGTTGATTTTAAACAGCCTATCCTCTCATCTGAAGACTGGTTATGCAACAGACATACCTAACCAGTCCTATCTAAGGCACAGAGGCAACAAATCAACATGCCTGACATTGACTCAGCTGTATGGATTGGTTTAAGGGTGTGGAGCAGTGGAGAAATAAATATTACAGGATCACCTAATGTTTTTCTACCTGTTATTAATTACTATGCTGCTAAAATTAACCCTATAAGCAATTTAGCAAGCTTTCAAAATACTTTTAGTGAAAATGGAAAACCATACTGGAAAAAATTGAAAATAGATAAGTAATTTTGTCTCAAAGTAAGCAAATTTGTTCTTAGATTGAGGAGGTAAGAGAGACATTTTGCCAATGGAACAAGACAATTTACACTTTAAATAAATAAACACAACTGCATTGTCTTATTTCAAGTGCATACTATCTAATTATCCTATTTTAAGAGTAAAAATACTCATTGCAATAGCAAACTCTCTCATTTACCTACTCAAATTAAGTGTAAATACACTTAATTTAAGAATTTTTTACTTATTTCTAGGTCGTTTTTCCAGTGCACCAAACACAATGGCTTGTTTTACCAGACCCAATCTGATTGTCTTAAAAAGCAATAAATTTCACCAGAAATCAAACCGAAAAGGTCTTTATAAGAGCAATTTTACTGTTAAATAATTAAAAATGTAAGAAATACACTAAATCAGATGTTGTAAAAAGGATCCAAAAAATTTGGAACTACTTCATTATTTAAAGGAACCATTTCCTTTTATTCAACCTTTAAACACGTCTAAACAATTGAAACGTTTAAAAGCAGATGTAAAAGCAAATGTATTGTTTATTAATGCTATTCAAACTAACAGTTGGTCTTGTCATTTTATCTAGCTTAATAACACAAATGTGTCACTTCATTAAAATGGTGGTAAAAATATTTCCCTAGTTTTCATATTTATAAAAACGACTTAGTTGTAGAGCAAACAGCTAGTCAAAGAAAGGATTAAACGTAAGAAGACATCTGCCATCATAAAGTTTATCTAGAATGTTCCTCTTTGGTTTTCATTTGTGCCAATAGACCAAAATGTCATGGTTGGGTTTTTTCTTTTGTTCTCAAACATTTTTAAAAAAGGACCATTTAGTGACTTTGCAAAATGAAAATGGTCCAATTTCCTTCTGTTCTTCCAATTATAATCATTTACAAATGATTTTTTTTTTTAATAAATTTAGATTAAATAGATTAAAAATTAACTGCTAAAGTCTTTAGCAACAGCCGTTTGGGGTTTATCCTCCTTAGTGGCATCTCTTCTTTTGATTGTGTAGAGCTTTACATTGAGATAACCATCACTGGGTTTAAATTTAGGTTTACATTACTCGAAAAAACAAAAAGAAAATGTACAGCTCCATTTCACTTTTAGATTAGATCTGTACTGAATACTTAAATATATATAAATACTTGTGTATTTTAATGGTGAGAAATTATACACAACTGCACAAATATTGCTTGTATATTTTATTTTATGTACAGTACATGTAAAAAATAAAGAAAAATGAACAAAAAAATTAGCCAATAACATTGACCGACATGGGCAGCAGTAAATGGCCATGTTTCTTATCCATGGGAAGATCCAGACGACCGTCTCCCTTCTCAGTCGTACACTTTCACAATGCTCCAGCTGCGCCTCACGGCAGCTTCACAACAAAGATTACCAAAACAGGAAGAAGGGAGCATCTGTTTTAAAAAATAATAATAATAATAACTCTGTCACCTAAACTTTTAGCCTGCTTTTCCAGTTCTGGGCTGGAAGAAAGGAGTCGAGCTGGTTGGCCGAGTGTGCCTGTGCAACCTACGGCTTTTTTTAAAAATACTGACCAACTCACAGCCTCACTGCACGCCCGGCTTTAAACCCCCAAAGTCAAAAAAAGTCAGTGCTACAGTCGGTATTTACCCTGTGACTAAATACTACGACTAGAAGCAAGACCGTTTTTTTTTATGTTTTTTCCTTCAGTCCACTCAGCAGCTGAATTCACAGTATTCATACAGCATGGTAACGTTTTTGAATTTTCCTCTGAAATGAATTCATAAAGCTTTAACTGATGATGCATAGGGGGGGTGTTAACATGTTTACAGTTTCCAGTGGAAATGGCGAGAGGATTCGCTTATTGTGGCAAAGTCAGAATGTCAGAAAAGAAAGAGTCTTGTTTCCCCATGGATCAAAAATTAAAATTAAATAAAAACAAAAAGTAGATTTCAGTTTTGTATCTCCAAGGCCATAGATAGTCAACCACAAAGACTTCTGAACTCCCCTGCTGCCTATCGAGGCTGTATCTCTCAATAGTGTTTCAGACAGTGAGTTTACAGCAGGCCACCAAGGTACAGATAAAGTGCTTATTTTCTTTAAATGTGTCACTTTAAATAATTAAATGTAAAAATGGTTTTAAGGATATCTGAATAGTTGGAGGAGGGCGGCGTAGTGGGAAATGAAATGGGGAACAGACGCGACGCGACTCCGGAGATGGACAGTTTGTTACAAACACATCCACCGACCCCTAAGGGAGGGGACGCTGCAGTCAATGCTGTCTCTGGATGGAGCATTCACATTTTCCAAAGTAAAGAGGGTTTAGAGTAAGACTTTTTAGGAGGGCGGGGCCGGAGGGGGGGGCTCCACCCGGCTGGACAGGTCGGACCTCGCCGCAGAGAGCTTCAGAATAACAGCAGCAAACAGAATATTCAAAAACAACTATCAGGGAGGGAGGGGCACTCAAAGAGAATAAATACATTTGGGTCCATGTAGTGTTATCCGGCTCTATAGAAATATAATAAAACCTAGAAAAAAACAAAATGTTCAGAGTTCATAGAAGACCACGAGATTCGGGCCTTTGATCTTTTTGTTGTTGTTTTGTTCCCTTATCCACTCTCATCGATATAATCCATCTTCTATCAACGTTGTGAAAAAGAATAGGGACACAAAAAAGGTATATAAATAGTAGCCATGGCAACGGCACATCCACACTTCCTGGGCCTTGATGGCTGAGTCTGAGAATCCAGAAAAACCTCGGAGTCATTTAGTCCTCAGCCTCTGAAAAAAAGAAAAAAAAAGAAGAGTAAGAAACCTGAGCAGGTTTAAAATCAAGTCAGCAGGAAATAAAAGTTTAAACTTCTCCACAGCGTCTGTGCTGTGTTCCTCAGTCCTCATGATGCTACATGTCCATTTAGACCAGCTGGATTGATACTGAGATTAGCTCAAACACAGATGCACTCAGTTTATCAGTAAGGCGAATTTTCAGATAACTGGTAGCACTGGATTGGATTTACTTCTGTTCGTCTTTAGAATAAAATCAGTACGAATCTGGATGGGAGACAAAAAAGGAAAAAAGCTTAGGGTATAAATATTTTTGCAAGGTGGTCTACAATCTTTTTTTAACAGTGAGGAGGAACTCTAAAGTGAATGTCAGCTGATTTTCAACTGGTTCAGAGCCTTATGTGGCTGAGTGAGCAAAAAAAACCAAACCAAACCAACCGTCTCCTGACTGCTGAGCTCTGAACCAGGCAAACAAAGGGTTGGAAAATGTGGACCCGTCTCTGGAAATGGGACAGGATTTCTCGTTTAAGTGTGTGTCAAAGAGCTGCACTTAAATGCGAGCACTTAGTGCTCGTGCAGTAGCCTGGTTTCCTCAGTCACTGCCCCCAGAAACCAGAGGAAGGAGCTCAGAATAGCCACATGACAAAGTATTTTGGAGACATAACTGAAACCACATGTTTATGCATTTCACCAGTTTTAACTGGGCTCAAACTTTAGTCTGTTTAAAGGTGCAGCACCACTTTAGCTATAGACAGCTTTATTATATAAAACAGAAACATTAAGTAATCACACCCCATGAGTTTTCAGTTCCTTTTTTCTTTTCATAAACCTAAATAAATAGTCCAAATAATTTCCCTAAAAAATTAAACAGCTCAATAAGTAAACAGAACCATCTGTTCCCAATTTATTCTCACTATAAATCCAGCTTTTCTAAGAAGGATTTAAAAGTTTTTAAACATCAGCGAACAAACAGCATCCTGAGGACCAAGGAATGCAGCAGAGCTTAAAGCAGGGTAAGGGTATAACAAAGTTAAAAATAAAAATGGAAGCTTGAATTTTAATAAGATGACTCCAAAAAGCCACAACAACATGGTTCAAACTGAACACACAATCTCCATGTGGAAATATGAGGTATTGTCACAACCCGAACTGTACCAGTAGAACGAACTGTACCACCAGCTCATTTGCTTAACCAGATATAAAGTCAACCCCAACTTTACTCTATAAAAAAACAAGACCTAAATTTGGTTTGTCCCTCCCTAAAAGTAGTAAGCGTACTAAACTATAATGTGTTAAAGCTTAATTATGTATTTCCTGCAAAAATGAATGCCTTAAAATCCTTAGTTTTATCACTGATCTTTGCCAAAAACGGGATCCTACACTACTTCTGGGAGCCATCTTTTGATTTAAATATTAATATAGTCTTTTTGAGTTTTATTATTTCATTTCGTGTTAACCTTATGGTATATATTGTGTATTTTTGTAATTTAAAGGAAGAAATTACTAAAATTTTATCATATTTTGCCAGACTACTCTAAGCATGTCAGATGAGGACGTCAAACAAGCAGTTTAATGGAGAAAATGTAAAAAGCATCAAGTTGTCTGAGAAGACTCAGATTTTTAGCTTGTTTTTCAAGGATAGAAAAAGTACTTTAAGTATCAAAATTACATTATTTGTGATGACCTGGATGAATATCTGCTTGCACGATGGTACGGTTTGAGCTTCTGGTACATATCGGGGAGTAACAGGCAGCACCATGCTCCTCTGGAACAACGACAACCATTAGCTAAAACAGGCTGATCCTTTATGGACGCTCACCTTCAAACAGTATAACCATAAACAAACAGCTGTAACAGTATATCGTTGAGATTACGGCGTCAGTTTGACAGATTTCACAGAATTCTAGTTAATGCCTTTTAGCTCTTAACCCTTTTTAATTGTATGATAAAGTAGGTGTATTTATTATAGTATTGACCAAAAATACACACAAAATCCTTTGTCATTTCCTCAGAAGGAAAGGATAACTATTTCCCTTGTGCGTAAACAAAAACACATAGATCCCTAACAGCCATCTAATTTGAGGGGTTGAGAATCAGAAAAATCTGCTTCTGTTCATGTCTGCTGCCCCACAACAGAATCTTTTTGGTCTTGACTCACAACAGGAAAAAACAAGCGTTCACAAAAAACCTGTGACTCACTAATCCGAGTCATTCGAGGTCATTTTGTTTGGTTTGGTTTACTGGTTGGTTAACTAGAGCCCATCTAGCTTCCATACGTTGTTGATAACCTTTGTTCTTTTGGCTATGCTATGACAGATTTACACATTTTTAACTGTTCTGTGATCAATAGTTATGCATAGCACTGACTCAGTTTCGTAAGGACTTAAAAGTTACAATTAAATTATTACTCAACCGGGTAAAACTATTTGAAACTATTTTTAAATGGCAACCATCCATCAGTATTGATCAAATTTAATTATTTTCTTCTGAGGGCATTTTATATCTATCAACCCAAGTTCATGATGGTCTCATGACCGATACCAGCTATGGACTGACCTACGTGTCGCAGTGGGAGAGCAGTGACGTGATCTCTGGTCCCATGTGACCCACGGCCTTGGCTGCCTCCAGGATGGCTCTCCGGTACATGCCTTTCTTTTTGCGGTTGAAGCGGGACCTGAAGAGCTCTCTGAAGGGCGAGAGCTTGGCTACGGAGAGCTGGGAAGTGGTGGGCGAGCCGAACCACGCCACCTTTGCTTGGGGCCACTGGGCCTCGCAGCCGTCAGACTCCTGTTTCCGAGTACCGCTGATGCTGAGCACGCGAGCTGGCCACCAGGGGAAGCCGTGGATCTTCCCCCACACGATGTCCCCCACTGCCACAGCGTGCCCCTCCTCTGTTACGCACTTCGTCATGCTGCGGGTGTGAAGGCGCACCGTGATCGGCGGCACTGTCTTGCATTCGTCCCGCGGGGTCACAGAGGACGAAGTGACGGACAGGTCTTCGCCCGGTGCCAGATCGCACATCTCCGGCGAGGTCCCTTCTGAGCTGAAAGACTTGGATTCGTCCAGGCTGTCGCTGCTGCACACCGACAGGCTGGAGGAATCCGCCTTACGCTTCCGGAAGTTGATCAGGAGGGTGAGGTCGCTGTGACTGCGATCCCCCTCCTCTCCAGAACTTCCTGACCATAGCTCTAATGAGTTTTTCCCTTCCCCTGAGTCTTCGGAGTGGGGGATACAGGAGGAGGGCCCCCTGGGGCTCCGTCTCCTGCTGCCTTCCACCAGTTCTGCCTCATACTCCATCATGGTCTCCTCTCCCTGACTCTGTGGGGGTCTCAAGCGGATCTTTGGACAGGATGAGCCTTGATTCACTGTTGCAAAAGGCCTGGTTAATTTCAGTTTTGGAATAGACACCGTCAGGCCGGACCTGGTGGCGTCTAGAATGTGTCGCTGATCTTTAGAGGCGTCGCTGGCCCTCTTGCCATTTCCTCCCACGCCGTTTTGCACCAGCTGTTTTGGACAGAAGGGCTTGATTGAACCGTGAACTCGGGATGGGATCTTCATGACCTCCCCCTTTCCCTGCGGGGTGCTGTAGGAGATCTTTATGACGGGACTGTGAGGGATAACGTCGCTTGTGGCGTATTTCTCCACATCAGTTTCACTCCTTTTGTCTTTTCTGAACCGCTTGCTGTCGAGGCTGGGGCCGTTTTCTCGTCTTTTGGCATCCTTTGCAATGACGTCCTCTTTCCTGGACAGCTTAGCTGGGCCGTCCTTATAGTCACCATCATCGTCACTCTGCAGCGTGTTCTCTTTTCTAGAAGTCTTAGTGTTGCTAATGCCATCCTTGCTGTCCTCGTCACTGTTCAGTGTGTTTTTGCACTTTTCACACAGCACCTGTCGCGGCCGCAGGCGGATGGTGCTCATGGTCATACGGCCTGGCTCTCGCGACCGCCTCTTCTTTCTCTTTATTGGCCGCGGAGGGGGCTGGGGTACCCACTGGCTGTAGGTGTTGCGCACCCATAAGGGTGGAGGGAAGGGGGCTCCTTCAAAATAAGGAGGAAAAGGAGTCTGTCCAGCGGGCACAGGGGTGGGGACGGGGCAGGGCGTTGCTGGAGGTGCAGTAGGTTCGCTGCTCTCAGGGAGAGAGTTTTCATCCTTTGGTCTGTGGGGGGCCTGGCTGGGGGATTTAGGAACTGGCTCCTCGCTCAGGATCTCTGGGATTTCACAGGCTGGCTTAGTGACCGGGGAGTTTCCAAGTTTGGCTGTCAAATCTGGGAGACAGAAGAGCCCGGTCCTAGGATAAAAAAAAAAAGACGTGAGAAACGGTTACTTAAGAATAGAACCAGTCACACTTTGGGATTGCTTATTAAAAGGTGTAGGGGAAAAAAAAACAACTATAAATTCAGCTCTTATTGTAGTCTCATAATAGCTTAAATAACAAATTAATAGCACCCTTTTCCTGTTCCCACAGAGTTTTTAAACATTTTATGTCTGGGGAGTGAGATGACTATATAATGGATTATTCTATCCCTGGTGAACTATGTCCTTGTTGTTATACCCAAATATTTTCCATAAATCACTTTTCCAGCTGTCTGGGAAAAGGAACTAGGTTTTATTTAAAAAGCAGAAGTATTCTTATAATTAATGATGCTACTGAATGCTAGCATTTCTCCTAGGGGCATTTAAAAGAGAAACAGGCCCACAGCATCACCAACCCTCTTCAATACCTTGGAATGAGGTTCTTTATTTTATACTTAATAAATTATACAGGATCAAATTTTAAAATAAAACATTTGGGGTCAAGTAAAAAAGCTTTTATGGAGGAAATGAGAGACACTTTCCGCTATTTTGGTTATGTAACTTTACCATGAGACGCTTTTGGTAAACTAAAAAAATAAATGCTACAATTTATTTCAGGATTTAAGACAAATTACAATCATGAAATCTTATGAATGATGTGTTAAAAGACCTTTGAAACAGTGAGGGATTGCTGTTGAGTCAATGAGTCGATGCAATCAGCTGGTTTTTCTTAGATAGAAAACTTTGAACTAATCTGACTGTATAATCCGGTTGAATTGTCTCTGTAAAGTCAATTGTGATGACATGTGTTGTGACTTGGTGCTATATAAAAAACTGAATTAAAGGATGCATTTAATGCATTTTAATGCTAATTAGGGCCTTGTTATTAAATTCATCAATTCAATGCCTTGTAAGACATTTTAAGGATCAGAAGGAAGCAGAAGCGTCACCTGGCCTGGGCATTCCCGGCTCTAGTCCCAGATGATTCTCATTAAGCATTATTTTTCACTCAGGTAATAGGAGTCTGAGCCGCCCTACGTTATTAAATAAAATGAAGTTTTGCAATTTCCCAGCTCCGGTGAATGCAACACAGGCAAAGCATGATCAATCAAAGAGGAGTTTGGGTGGAAGCGGGCACTCGTCCATCTTTCCTTGTCCATCAGGGCTGATAATATTTAGAGTTGTCACAGAAGAAAGTTAGCAGATTAAAGAAAGAAGGGAAATAATTCTCCTGTGGAGGATGGCAGCTGGCAGAAAGAGCCTCTATGGAAATTGTAAACAAACAAACATTTCATTCTGGGATGTTCTCAACATTATATAAATATCAGGGAACTCATTCATGATGAAAACATAAAAATAAGCTCGATAATTTTTTTACTAAACCTCCATCCACGCCCTGTTCTGATCGCAGTGAGACACTTGGTGTGTGTTTAAACCTCACATGCTTTTCAATAGGTGTGTGCTGCGCGCTATAACTTTAAGAAACTCTGCTCTGCTATCGGTCTTTGTGTGTTCAGCTCTGAAAATAAAAACAGCATCTTCAGCAAGTTTTGTCCAACTTTTAGATTTTATTTCTTCCATTTCATGGGAGTTGGTTTAAAACTTTATTTTAATTTCTACCAAAGAAATCCCTGTATTAAATTCAAAATTAATATTTAATTATTTTACTCTATAAAAAGCCCCACAATGAAAGGCACAGACCCTCCTGGAATATTTCTGTCTTGTAATTCCTTTTTCTTAGGATTTTGATTTCTTGTATCGTCATTAAAATTATGCTTTTTTTTTTATAATGTTCAGGACTGTCATTGCATTATAAGGCAGTTTTTGAAATGACTGAAAAAAATTGAAGTGGGTGAAGTTAAACTAATTTGTTTTTGTTAATCACAATAAAAAAAAAACAAACAACAAATTTTCTATATATTTCTATAAAGAAAGCCCTCTGTAGGTTTTGCATCAGGCTCAGTATAGGTAAAATGAAAAAATCGTATTACTTATCATTTTGGAAAAATCAAAATGTAGGAGTTAGAGACTAGAAACAAAAAATAAAAGGTGTTATTCAACTGTTATATTTTTAGGTTATAATTGTCTATACTTTTTAAGATGCATGCAGGGTGTAAAAAAAACAATATGACCAGGAAGCTTTTTATATAGTATCAGCAAGAGTGTAAAACTGCTTTCACTCCTTTTTGTTTTATCCAAGAGTGACGTTAATTTCTTTCCAAAGCTTTTTTAATACTCCGTTGATCTGATATTTATGGGTTAAATCAAATGATGTCTCTAGCTGTTTATATATGTACAGCTGACTGTACATATTGCAGCATTTGGCTTCAAACAATGTGCCAGAATGCTCAATAAGGCTTGAATGAAAAGCCCCTTTTCTTAGTTAAACTCCCAGAGATTGCCCTAATAGGGATGTGGGCTCAACCCTCAATGTTCCCAGGTCCAGGAAACGCAGGAAGCCTGGTTAAACATTGAATTTTCCTTTAAAATAATTAAGTCTTTTTAAATCTAAATACATTCAGCTCGTCATACAGTGAGACAAGATCATATTTTACTGTTCATTCCTGATGTTTCAGCATGTAGCCATTTTTTTGTAAGGATTTCCATATGTATGAAGTAGAACATAGATCTTTCTTTAATTGCTTGTTTTCTCCCCCTTAATTACTAAAGGATGGCTAAGAATGGCTCTGGCCAGGTTATATAAACATCTCAGAGATATGTAAAGTTATCAATTCTTAATAATAACAAAAGCAAACGTTTTTCTGTAATCCATCATTGGTTACAAATTAAGATTGCTACTTTGGATTGAAGCAGTAATACTGTTACAAGGGAAACAGTATTTCTTAATTTGAATCTGTGCCCCAACAAATAATAAATGTTCCCAAACTAACGGTTAAGTTTCAACATTCTTTTTCTATGCAATATTATATTGTTTCCACACTAAGCAAATTCATTTTGAGGTTTTCTCCACCCATTTTCTGGTAACACAGCCTTACCAGGGATTCCAGTAAGCGGGATTATGCATACAAATGTTGAAATAATAGGAAGGGAAAAAAGAAGAAAAAGAAATGTGAACTCTGCTTTCACTATGAAGGAACCGTTCTCCGTTCACCTGCGTTGTAAAAGTTCTTACGGAGTGGGGGTTGGGTTCTGCTGTGTGCTAATCTCTCCTTATACCTCAGGCTACAACAGCAGAGCAATAGTATCAGTGACTTTCTCTGGATGATTGTACTCTTCTTCTTTCATATTCTGGGATCAATAAACACGTCTAATGAAGGCCAAACGGCCGAGAAGTCATTAAGAGGTGGCTGGCAGGCAAGAAGTAACATGGCTGAGCTGCTGTAGTCAGGAGACAGCAAACAAAAGAGTCTACAGGATGCCCAGGCGCTTCCCCCCCTTCGCCTTTCCAACATCTGACTGAACAAAAACAATCCCATGAATCACTCGGGATCCAAAGATGCAATCTGGAGATTTCGGTTTGTTTTTGCATCCGTGTCTACGTAGGGGCTCCTGTGTGCTGAGATTATTAATTAGTGCACATTTGGGGAGCCCATTTCCGTCCCCAAGAGAAGGAGCTGGCAGGGTTCTGTGAATTATAGTCTCCTGGTGATGTTTGCTCCTCTCAAACCTTTCTATACGTGCCCCAAAGCTGCCAAATATTAGCCTCCACTGCGACTGACAGCGCACAAACAGTGCTGCCTGTTACAAGGAACAGGCCGTGCCTGTTAAACATAGCACAAGGACGCACAATATGATAAGCAGTGATTCACTAAAGCTGGTGCCACTTCATGTTGCGCTCAATGCAACTAGATAGTGGGAGATTTGAATGATACAACTATACTAGGATATTTTTAAAAAGGAGAGAAGAAAAAAAACAATGTGAGGAAATGATTTTCCTTAAGTCTGAAAGGAAGAAGGAGTCAAACTAGTCATTTGACAAGGCCTGAAATAGAGGAATAGAGGTCTATTTTAGGTTATTTCAAGGCCTTCTTTTCCCGCATCTGGTTGGGTTGTTCTCAGCAGTTTGAGCTGTTGCATAAAGAAAGGCCAAAGCTGGTCAGATTTTGATTCTGCTAGGCTATAAATAGTCTAAGCCCATGGCTTTTAAGGTGAGCAACACAGAGCTGACAGTGAGCTGACAGGAAAAGAAAATAATACCATTAAAAATATCACAATGTTCTTAGTCTCTCATCTTTTCTTATGCTTAAACATGATTGTGCTTTATAGACCCAGAAAGGGCCTGTAATGCCAAACAACATAAAAGGTCACAGGTTATTAAGCCTTGATTAAAGCCAAATGGTCAAACATGATCAATAATCCATCAAAGCCTGTTTTAGTAATTTTCCATGATTGCCATGAACTAGAAGTTCATGTCTATAACAAAGCTGTATCTCAAATTTACAACATTCACTTTACTCTTAAAATTATTCTCAACACACAAAAAAAAAATATTAACTGTATTTGAATAAATGCATTAACAATTGATTCACCAAACTGTTTTTATTCAGTTGCTTTGAGCTTCTTCAGCATTTGATAAGGCTAACAATAAGCTATTGATCAATTCAGTAACAGTAGAGGCTGCACAATATAAGTTATTAATTCCTGCGGTATCTTGGCTGCTAATGTTAAATATTTTTCCCATCAATACGTCGAGTTATTTTACTGTATCATTAGGTTAAGTTAAATAGTACTTTATGATTAGCCACCAAGTTAGCCGTTAGCTCCCCTGTCAGCTACAATAACCCATGTCTTTTATCTGAAGGCCCGTTTGCTGCTACATAGCTACAGAGTTAGCATCTCGGTTAGCACCGAGCTACGTTAGCCGTTAGCACGCTGTAGCAGCAAATTATAATTTCCCAGATAAATACAAAGTCTTAAATATTACTCACTTTTTGTTAGATTCGAGTAATATCCCAGTGTAGCTCCGTTCTCGGTAGGTCAGCGTCACCACCAGCGTGTCGTTAACAACATGATCGATAGTGACAGGTACCCGAGAGCCGGCCCGCAGCTCCTCGTCCGCAGCCTCCATGTTTCCCGGGGTGATGTGTCCGACTCCGCGGTACTCGGTCCCGGCCAAGGGAGCCACGGTCGCGCCGGCCTAGGATCCGTCTCCCCTTCGCTATCAAGAGCAGGAGGCTACGCTAGGGCAGAAAATGACGCCATCACCCCCACCAAGTCCATTACAACAGCGCTGCCACCACTGACATCACGCTCTGTGTGCTACAGGAGAGAAAAAAAAAATCTCCCCAAACAAGGCCTGGCCTTTTTCTCTGCCTCACTCTGCGACGTTTGAAGCCGTTTATTAGCGCTCACCTCACCCTGATTTATACATACTGGGAAAATAATGGCGACCATGCTGTCTTTGCAAGGAGAGGAAGATACGTTTATAAAATCAGGAGTTAGTTATTTATCACAAATTAACAATTCTTTATACTTTTTCAATTACTTATGTGGCACATGTCTTCTTTAAATTTAATAAATAGCAAAACACATTAACCATAGGTTGCAATTTAAAGAAGAGGGAGCTTAAAAAAGAGCAAAAGATAGAAAACTATTATTATTTTTAATGAAATTGTGTTGAAATTGCTAATGATAACATTGCTCTTGCAAATGCAAATAGTTAAAGGAGAATAATGAAATGTTAAAGTCTGACAAATGCTTTTATCCAGAAATGTAACACCAGTAAAAAATGTGTTATCTTTGGCAAAACAGCTTTAGGAGTATTTAATTATTTATCTTTTATAATCTTTATTTAGTAGTTTACAATTGAATTAGCCTTTTAACTAAATGGTAATTCATGCCATAGTGGGATCACAAGTATGAAAATAATCACATAAAATATATATCGATAAAAACTATACACAACATGTAGAACTAAGATAATTAGAACGTCAGCGTCCACAGCACCCTGTTAGTGCAGTTAGGCAGAGATCTATAGAAGACCCTATCTCACTTGCTACATCTAACATTGAGTATCATTGATGTCTGTTTTTCAAAAGTACACCTACTTTAAAAAGACATTAAGTCCTAAATCACAGATTTCTTCAATAAATGCTTATTTCTTAGACTTGTGAATATTTAGGCAGCATGGGGTACCAGTATGGTGAGTGAGACAAATACCACAAAACCAACCCGCCCCACCCTTAGCAGTGATGACTACAAACAAGGGTTTGGGATTACTAGCTGCCTGCTTAGTATTTCACATTGCTGTGTAGGAATGTTGACCTTCCTTTCTTTTCAGAAATGTTTTAAACGAGCCACATTGAAACGGTTTTTTAACATTCAAGGTCTCCTCACAGCGTTTCAGTCAGATTTAGGTCCAGACTTTGGTAGGCCACTCCCAACCCCTTCATTTAGTCATGGGTGTTTTTGAGTTATTCATAGGTGGACTTGTTTGTGTGCTATGGATAATTGCCCTTTAGCTAAATAGACTTTTTGAATGAATTCCATGATCTCCAAATTCAAACAATACACAGATTGTAAAATGGAGAAGCTATGTTGTAAACATAAGATGAAAAACATACATAAAACAAGAGGACTTTGTATATTTCTTAAAAAAATAAATAAATAAAAAATAAAGGATTATTTTGGCCATTAATGATGGAACATTTTATTAAAGTCATTTCCAGTGTCTTTAAATGCCTAAAACTCAAGCATGGAGTAAGTGATCCCAGTCACTTGAACAGGATGTTGGGCCAGCTGTTTGGGCTGTAGATGGTGAAAGGCTTTTTAAAATATCTTCCCATGTTTTTCCTTTCAAGACGTAGTTGTTGTAACTTCCTGATCTGTTGGTCAGGCGGAGGTAAAAAATTAGATCAATGAAATCTGAATTCAGTACAGATGGTTTCTGCGGATCATAGCTCTGGGTGCTAACCTCTTCCACATCCTCCTCTGTAACAGCTCTCTGCTGGGTCATAGTGCTTCTGGGATTCATGCGTTTCTCTGGCATCCTCTTGACCGGAGTAAAGATTTTCTGCTCCGGCTTCCAAGCAGATCTAAAGGTGACAAACAGATCAAAATGAGTCAAAGGAAAGGGTATTTGAATGTTTCTGAGATAATACAGTATAATGATGAACAGCAAAATGCTGAGAAGGATTTTATGAGTAAAAACAGAGCACCAGCTGGGAAATCTCACTCTATGTACTGTTTTTAAAGAGAAATTCTCGTTTACAAAAAAAAAAAAAAAAAAGAAACAGAAAACTTAAATTTGAGGTGTGCATAGCCTATTTTTGTCCACTAGATGTCCCTATCTGCCATTTTAACCAATGCAAACCTCTTTTCTGTGGGTCCTTGCATCCCAGACCATGCGCTGCATAATTATTAACATAATGGCACAGCATTATGGCTTACTAATACTAACCAGCATGCCTAGTTCCTATTCAAACATTAACCCAGGTACAGGATCTTGGGGACAGGATTCTTTTTTTCTTGACTTTACCTGTCCTGTTGCACCTCTGCAGTCAAGCGAAACACCTGCTCCTGTGAAGGTCCTGTGCTGCCCTCTAGATGACGTTTGGAATATGTTTCCTGTAATAGATAGTAGATTGTATTGTCTGAATTTGGATTGCAGAGCTTCCATGTATAAAGGAGCCACTTTATGGTTGGAAAACCTAAAGAAAAGCTGCAAACCAAAGATGTGGACAGAAAGCAGCAACACAATTGCCTCATGCTGGGATATAATCCAACTTTATTTCTGCTGTTATAGTGATAATTTCCACAGATTTCAGCGAGCTCAGTTTAAATATTCTGCATATAAAAGGGTTAACTTATAATTAGCTGATGGCCAAGTCACTGAAAACAATCAACTTAAATTTTACTTTTTATCTTTACCTTCTTACAGACTTCTTGTTTTTGATTTTTTTTGTGACATTTAAATGTTTCAATTTGTCAATCATATTTTAGTATCACACCTGAGTAAATACAGAGTGTATTCCTAAGTAATAAGAGTTCAAGACCTCCTTTTAAAACCTTAAATAAGCTGTGAACAAATACACTATTTTGAAAGGCTGAGTTTAGGTTTAAGAGCCAAAACCAGCTCCTATTGTTCAGACATTCAGACAATCACTTAAACAGAGCCTGGAGTTCGACATCTATCAGTCAACAAAGAAATGCAAAGCCATTTTAAATTAGGTTGATTTAACTAGCATTTAATAAGAATACCTTTTTTTTCTAAAATGGAAGAAAGGATCTCCTGCAGCTGTCTGTATTACAGCCACTATGGAGATGACTGCAACTGACAATGCTGTTGTTTAAATACCCATCCAAGGCTGGACTTTAACAGGTAGCATGATCTTAAACAATTCGTTCATGTTTGAAAATCCTCCGATAGTGGGGAGTGTTGGCCTAGTGGTTAGAGCTGTGCGCTTGTGCTCTGACAAGGTTGCAGGTATCCGGTTCGATGCCCACAGGCTTCACTCTGGGTTCCTGAGCAAAATGCTTAACCCCACACTGCTGATGATAAAATTCAAAAGATATAGAAATCTATGTCGGAGAATACTGGAGAATCGAATCTAATCGTGTAATCTAATTAGTGTTGCAATCAGTAGGGGCCTAGATATCTCCATAGGTTCTAGTAAACTCGCAGCATCACAAGTATCCAAAACAGAAGATGGAGGGATAGTGCCCCCTGGTGGTAGACAGGTGAAAGTAGATTTTCTGGATCTCACACATACCTGAACCTTTCTTTGTCTTCCTCTTATTTTGGCTTGTTTACAGCACTTTTCATGAGCATCCCTGCAACAACAACAAAAGAAAATTTCTTCCATCTAAATTAGATTCTTAATGTAAAACTAAGAGTATGAAGTCTAAAGTGAGTAAAATTTGAGCAAACAGAAGGTGACATCAGCACACTTTTTCTCCTTCACCAACGGAGCCTGTTTCTTTCTCAGCTCTCTCTGTGCAGCTTCTCCTCTCTGTTCTGACCTGCGGTACTGAGAGCCACACTGATAAAGCTCAGGAAATATGCCGACCTCTGTAGATGAACCTTTCCTAAAAAAAAATAAAAATAAAAAGAAACAAGACAAAACAAAAGCTGAATGTATTGTTACATCACTGCTCAGAGATGACAGCTTTGGAAAATAGTTATTTCTGCTCCCTCCTGTGGAGAATGTCATAGAAAAGAAATGGTTATCTAGCTCCTTCCTACATGCAGTCCTTCAGAATTACAGTTCTCTGCTGTGACAACAGATCCAGCTGCTCCTTGCTGTGACTGCATAAAAATAACACAAGCAATGTGTTAGAAATACCTAGAAAGTAGAAAAGACTTCTATCTCTTTGCTATGAGGACAGCCATGCTAAACAGAGACAGAGGTGGAACAAGATGTCTCCTGGTTGAGCTTTTAAGGACCAGATATTCTGCTGGCATCAACTCTGTGGATATGGCCCCCAATCCGGCCATATAAGAAGATGAAATACGACACCAGGCAGCTTCTTTCATTAGTACATTATAGTCAACATTTTATCCAGATTTCAACCGTCTACAAATGCTCTTATATTTCATTTTGACGTACTGACAGTCATATTAGTTGTGTATGAAAATTGATAAGACATACTAAAAGTGAAGGATCATTTGTGCTGCTTGACAAGTTTTTATATTAGATGCCATTCATGACTTCACTGGGATTCCATGCTGAGGCTTAAACCACTACACCACAGAGGGACTGAATGTTAAGGCAATAAGGAAATCAATCTTTTAGTTGTCAGTTTCACAAATGAGAAAATTAATTTGGGAAAATGACAAGCGCCTCCTTAAGTTATGTTTTCCATTTACAGAATTGGTTAGGAAATATGTATCTAGGCTATTGATGCTTTTAGTGGATCCATTATTGTTTGCTGAATCAATTAATCTTTGACTGACCTCACAGTCTTTGAAAAAAACTTCACATCTCCATTTAGCTTGATTACCTAAATATGAGGCCTGCTTCACATAAGCTGAATTTAAAAAAGTCCAGAAAAAGAGATAAAGTTGGGCTCAACCTATTGTGAGCAGTGCAGCCTGACTTTAACTGTTTTACAAAGGCCAAACCAGGCTCAATAGTTGAAGTCACGTCCAGCCAGGTGCAAGTAATCCAGCTAAATGAAGATCTAATAAGTAGCTAAAAAACATATTTCCTAGCCTCTTCTCTGGCTAAAATTCTCATAGTTTAGGGAATTACTTGTCATTTTCCACAGATAAACAACTACTAACCTAAAAGTCAATAGAAGAAGCCAATATGGTGGCGTACAGATCTTACAGGTGGTACATTTAACTTTTTGTCATCTCTGTGGTGTAGCAGTCTTTGCCTTCGTGCAGGACACCCCTTGGATTGAACAATGGGTACAAAGTCATCAAGCAATAAAAACTATATCAGACAGCAGATATGATTTAGAATTCACGGCAACTGAAAACCTGAACTCTAACTTAAACTAACGGAGACCTATTTTAGAAGGGATCCAGGGAGGAAGAGGTCTGGAGCCATAAAATGTGTTCAGATAATGTCATTCACAAATGTATATATTTGACAGGCCTAACCATAACTCACTATTAGCAGATTTCCTGCGTTTTTATAATTTGCATCTCTTGCGGTAAACAAAAAGACTACCCAAAATATAAAAATGAGAATAGAAAACACGATAAAATAGACACACAAAACACATGCAAAGGAAACAAATGCTGCTACTGAGAAATGCTACAATCACAGAAAATAGAGAGCGGCAAAATGGAAACGAGCTGCAAAGACACACAAAACACACAGAATAAATGTTTATGGACCGAACCCTTAGCAACAATGTAAACAGGATTCCCGGCCAGAGAACATTTGGTGGGAAGAAAGAAAAGCCAAGGTTCTTCTTCTATTGCTTTAATGACGAATTGCAACCTTAACATTTAGGTGCATACTGCTAACAAACTATAATATTTAAATAACTAATATCTATTTAATCCTATGATGATATATTTCTAAGATATTATATAACAGCATCCTGTTTTTCTTTAATCCCCTCTCCAGTTGTTCCAATTAAACCTTTAAGATTCCACTTCCTTCCTATCTGCCTTATCTTGTTCTATGTTCTACATATTCTGTTATTTTACAGACTAAACATTCATCAGTTTGACTTTAACTGAATATAAATAATGTTGTGTTTAACCCAGTATGGTCAAATTTTATTCTAGTCAAAATATTCTTTTCTCTTCGCTTCTTTCTAGTCACATCCTTTACATTAATAGATTTCTGCACAATATAATATTTCCTTTCACTTTTATTTTTTTTCCCTCCCATCTTGCCATTTTTTTCTTTTTTAATTATCTTCTTAGCTTCTCCTTTCCCATAAGGTACTTTTATAAAATCATTTGTCTGCTCATTCATTTCTATTTATACCTACATGACTAGGAACCCAGCAACATTTAACATTTATGTAAAGATTCTTTAATCTGTGTCAGTATTGTTTATTTATCTGCCACTGCTCTGCCACCACAGTAATGTGCTTTGCAAATAACTTCTATTAAGGTAAAATTCTATAATAAATTTAAGAATTCAAGGAATTCTAAGATTTATCTTGAAATGCTGTCAGTAAGGGATATTTTATAGTCCTTGGTAGTCTTTAACAGCTACTAAAATGATTTTTGTTTAACGTGATGTTACTCCTTGATAAACCATAATAAAACAACTATGGAACAGCTGTGATTAAAAAAAAAAAACAGTAAACCCCATGATATAAATCCCTCCCTTTTCACTACTCTCTGTTGCTTCAGCTGCTTAAGAACTGCAGATGTTTCTCTTCACCTAGGACAGATTGACTGGACCATTAAAAAAATCTGAATTATTAATTTTTTTTATTTGGTTTAATACATTTTAGCTATTCTGTTGTAGATTTGCTGCTATGTTCTAGCTTGTTGTCTGAGGAAGACCCAGTTTAAACTGTCAGATGGATTTCCTCCAGTTTGAATCTAAAAGGCTTTGCCATACGGAGGAGTTCATGGTCTAATCTGTAATGGCAAGATCCACATAGTGATGCCTGTGCAAAACGAGCCCAAATGATCAGCTGTCCACCACTGGGCCAACACTTGATGTGAGGTGTTTTTGTTGAAGAACTGGATGGAAAACTGCAGCTGCTGCTTGGTAACTCCTGTGACAGTGGCCCAGTCCCAATGATGTCAATAAACTCTATGCCCCTCTATGAAGTGTGCAGCAGGAGGAAGGGCGCTTAAGGGTTTGAGTGTGCACGTTACAAGTGTGCAAAATCTGGAGATTTGTGACAGTTCTACTAATGGAGACAGCTAAAGTGAGAAAACCTGTCCCTGTTTTTGTAATGTTACTGCTAAAAATAAATATTTATATCAAAATATAAAATATTTTGTAATTTATACTGTCAATGTAGAACCTATGTGCTCATTTAAAAATCTTGATGGAGAGTGGGATGATTTTAAACAGAGTGATCTCGATTAGTTGCATTAAATGGTTGAGGAATGGCTTTGCATGTTTTGTAATTGTTAGGGTTCTGTTTGTGGGGTTTGTTCTTGTGTTTTCTTTTAGTCTCTCCCTCCACCTCCAGGTGGTGCCCTTTCCATGTTCTGGCTTGGAGGGTGGCTTCTGGGTTTTTTCCTCCTCACCTGCGGCTTGTTGGGTCATTACCAGAGGAGTATAAGAGCAGTGTACTGTCAACGCCTCGGCGCCAGAGCGTTTGTCAGTATTGGGTAGTCTAGCCAAACTGAGATTAGCTGAGTCTAATTAATGCCTTGTCTCTCTGAGTCTAAGCTTTGCCTTTTGTCTCTTTGTTTTCCGGTAGGATACCCTTCTGATCGGCTAGATATGCCTGGTCCTTCTCCCCCCTTGGAGGGAAATATTCGAGTCACACTGAGTAAGGGAAAACCTTCACCAGATCTGTTCAAGCCTCCCTCTGGAAAACCCTGTGGCAGTCTGCTCCTCTGGACCCATCTCTAGTCTGCCTTGTCTGCCCTCCAACAAGTTCAACCATTTCTGGTCAATACCCCCACAAACAGGACCCAAGGATCAACCAGGAACACTGTTATGTGAGTCATTACAAACCATTAATCTGCCAAGTATCATTTTTCCTACGGACCATGAACTCATCTCTGTTACCTCCCCACTAGAGGTTCCGGTTCACCAGACCGCTGGATTTCCCCCGCTGAGAATCCCCACTAGATAGGTCTCTGAGTTTTTCCAGACGGATTTTTATCCCACAGAGAATCCCTTGTTTAATCGAGTTTCCCAAGACCGCTGTATTCTCCCCTGCTGGGAATCCTCTTAGTTTGTCCCTCTGAGTTCAATGTTTGTCTCTCTGGTTGTATTCTCCAATGAACTGGTTAACTTTAACCCTGCCTCTGTGTGGTGTTCTGCATGTGGGAAATTTTAGGACCCCATCATGACACTAATGTTATGATTTAGTACATTTTAGGTTATGATTATTTAGCTTGGTCAGTTATTCCAAAATTACCATTAACATTCTATAAATCAAAAACTGCTCCCTTACTCACCAGTCTTTGATGAACATTGACTAACTGTTACAAATTATCCAACAGATGTTAAATAAAGCAGAAGTTTGTGGAGATTTATTGATTGAATATCAATTAAGAGAACAAAAAGTTTTATTGATTTGTGGATGATTTACAGGAGGCTTTATGTTTATCATAATCAAACGGCATGGCAGCTGGATCATCACCATGTTTCTGATTTATTTTTTTTTTGTCTCAAATGTCACATGCGGCTGTGATTTGTGGGGGAAAAACTTCACCAAACTGTTTAGATGAGTGCTTAGCTCAGGTATGTGTGAAGGGCCAAAGGCCTCTGAAGAATCGAAAGACACTACTCACTCGGACCCTCAGTGGAACGCACAATTGAAGTATGCAAGGGCAGAAGTGCAGGTATTGGGACTGGGCCAGTGATGGCCACATTAGTGTGATTGCCCTAAATGGGACTAAAGTGTGGAAAGTAAACTATAAATGCTTTTGGATGTGACTTTATGCCCAATTACTTGATTCATCCCATTTCTAAACTTCTACCCACCTTTTATCTGCAGGAAGAAGTTGAGACTGTCGCTCACTGTTTGCTATCGATGCCATCTCTGCTTCTTCCAGCGCATTCAGCTTGTCTTTAAGCTCCCTGAACCTCTGCAGCCCGGCCTCGTCCGCCGACTCATCCTGGTCCTCCGCGCTGGACTCTGTCAGCTCTAACAGCTGGAGCTGCTCCTCAGCTGCCAAATAAACAAGAATGGCAGCTATGAGTGTATTCTTGGAGCAGACCATGCTGGCAATAACTCAATGATTTCTGGTGTAAACAGGGAGCAAAACTTAAACTAAAAAATCTTGATGATTAAACAATGTGCAAATGAAGGCTCCAATTTAGGTAGACGATACTAGGCTGTCATTCTGACCCTTTAACAGTTAATAAGAACAGCTTTTCTGAAGACTGGAGCTCCGCCTCCATGAATAACCTTGTAAACTGGGAGAGAAATGATCCCATCAAGTCTGACTTTGCTCATTGTGCATCAGCTGCATCTCCTGTGGAGGGCTGTCTGGGGCTGCCGAGCTCAGTTACAGAGCGCTCCTGTTTAGAACCCACTGGTAATCGATCATTTTCCACCCTGCTAAAAATATTACAGAGCTGGAAGCTGGATAGTGAGAAGAAGGTGAAAAAAATTGGAGAGGGAGTGAGGCGAGCGGCACAAGCTGTCTCCAAGGGAACACAAGTCACGCTAGTGAAGTGGTACCAGGGCAGGGAGCTATTTTTGTTCCCAGCCGTCCTGTCTTTGACAAAGAGCAGATGGTTAGGGAGCATGAGCTGTGCTAAGGTGCCTTTGATTCACCTGGAAGACTCTTCCTCTCTGTAGCTTCTCTCTGAGCCAGAACGGTCCTCAGGTACTGCAAGATGCTGCGGCATCCCTGATGCAAAACCTCTTTAGGAGGAAAACGAATGGGGCAGTCCCTCAGGTTCAGGCCTCTCAGTGTAATCACTCTGCCTGCAAAGCAAACGAAGTAAGTATGAGCTCACACTGGTTTTACAAGCCAGACATTCAAAAGAAGCAGCTCTGGCTCAGTGGGATGAGCAGTTTTACAATCCAAAAGTTGTGGATTCATTTCTAGCTTCCTCATGTGTTGATGTGCCCCCGTGCAATGCACTTAGCTCCAAGTTCCCCACAGATCTGAGTACTGCTATATGATTGTGTGCAATTTGCTGAGTGCCACTGGATATAAAGAAAACAAACCTGATTGATCGGTTTTAAGAAAAACAAGGAGGAACTTTTGAACCCCCTACTATGTGTTCATTAACTAAGATAAACCAGAAAGGAGCTTCATTTGAGACAGAAATAAAACAAATGAGAAAATTTTGGTCTCAAGGATTGAAATATTGCTCATGATTTCATGTGAGCGAAATGAACTCACCCAGCTCTGCTGGAAGCTCTGAGATCGGATTGGCTTCAAGTACAAGATTTCTCAGAGACCTGCATGATCAGAATTACAAGTTAAACATCATAAAGTAATCCCATATCCCTTTTTGGGACTTAATAAAGGAAATTAATGTGAATTATACTTTTAAGGAATCAGTAAAAAGGGTTTAGATTAAATATAAACAAAGATCAATGGACAAACCTTGTGTATAATGACGGCTAATTAATACGATATTGACAGGAAAACGATTTAATTAAAAAAAAACAACACAAATGGTTCAGGGACTTTCTAAAAATCAATAATTAAAGAAACCTATTAGCTTTTAAAGCTTTTCGGGCTTCATATTTTTCCAAAAATAATTACAAATATCCAAACCCATGGGCCTCTAAAGCTACTTTTAATGAACACTTTTGGAAATCTTAGGCAGTTAGAAATGTTTGCATGACACTCAACAGAAGTTGTGTCCCTCTTCCACTCGCTTCATTTGGTCTGGCTCAACTCCACACCATCACTTTTTAAACGCTCACATTTATGCTTTTTTTTTAGCTCTGCTCAGGACGTTCAGAGCTGGGAAGGATGGGAAGGAAAAATGGTGGGATTGAGAAGAGTATAGTGAAGTCTGATATGAACTGTTAAACAGTGTCTAAAAAGTTTTTGGATTTAACTTATGGATGTAAGCTGTACTTTTTTAAAGGGTGCATTGATTTAACAGCTGCAGTGAATGAAAAAAAAAAAAACAGGAGATGGGCATAAGTTTCCCAGCAAACTGTTCGTCAACTGTACACTTTTTTTTAATATAATATAGATTATTTAATTGCTCCTCAAAAATTATTGATTGTTTCAGTTAGTTTTACCTCTTGAACGCCTACCTTATAGTTTCCTGTGTATTGGCAGCACTCTCCTAATGAAGCAACGCTATTTAAGCACAAAAATGCCTTGTTTTTAAAACATATAAATATAAAAAATATAACTGCAGATGTCTGGGGGACAGTGATTCGCCTACATGTTATGAATGCTGGCGTACCATAAAGAATACATTATGAACAGTTTAGTTTGTGCCTTCAAGTCGTTGCCCATAGGAAGATGTTACTTGGATATAACCTAACGGAATACCTTCAGAACGGCTCCAAATGACACAAAACCCATATGGGTGAGTAGAACATGATGTAATAATGTAAAATCAAGGGGCCAATGTAAAAAAAAAAAAAAAACAGCATTTCTTTTTAAACTACAGCTCTTATAGAGGAATGCTTTAGGCTCTGACCTGTGTGACCCTATGTCAGCTGGAAGGGATGTAATGAGGTTGTTTCTGAGGTCCAGCCACTGCAGCTGAGGCAAGCTGCAGAACATTGGTCCAGGAATGCTGGAAATCTGATTTCCCTCCAGACACAGATACTGAGGAGTAACAGGATTCCTGTTATTATAAAGAGGCGGTGTGAAGCAGAGGAATGCATCAGTAGCGGACTGACCGTAAGGAGGCTGTTTTTCAGCACCCAATCAGGAACACATGTGAGGTTGGATCTCCGTAGACAAAGCATCTCTGTGGAAGTGGGCTCGCTGTGTTTCCTCACTGCGTTCAGCTCCTTGTTCCCGAAACTTTGCGGTGTTTCTCCGGCCTCCTCAATGGAAGTCATTGAAGTCATTGTGGATCAAACCGCTTTCAAACGCCTCATTTGTTGGTGACTTTTTTTTTCTTTCCCGTCAAAAGTTTGACGCAAGATAACTGGATTCACCAAGCTAGCATAAACTGTCGAGTTAGTAACTAAATAAATGTCGTATTTCTTCGCTTACCATTTCAGTCGCTGTACTCAAAAAGTCAATAAAAAAGATACTCAATCACCGGAAACCAGTCTTGCATATATTTTGAAAAAGTAAGCTAACTTTCGGGAGCTTCTCCCAAGAAGCTGTAACCATGGCAAAGGTGTAACCATGACAACGAGTTCAACAAAACAGCGCCTATGGCAAAACTATGGAGGGCAAAAATGGCAATATTTAATGCATAGCTTGAGTATTTTTTTTCTTTTTTTGTAATTTAAGTTAAGCTATAATAACTGTTTTTATTCTTAAGTAATACAGTGGCGCTAAATAATAATTATTAATAGTAATACAAGTAATAATATCTACTGTCAGTCAGGCATCATTAAAGCTACAGTGTGTAATAATTACAGGGATATACAGTCAGAAATGTAATATATTATACATAACTATGTTATTTATCATCATCTACGAGCTCAGCCTCTTAACCTTAATATTTGCGTTGCCTTAGGCCCCGTCCACACGAAGTCAAAACGAACACGAAACGCTGATATTTTCCAAAACGTTTGCCGTAAAGACGGAGACGTAAAATAAATGTGATCGTCCACACGAATGCATGAAAACGCTGCAAAATGTATGCCAGGCCTGTAATTGGCGCTGTGGTGCCAAAGCAAAAATAAGCGACGAAATGTTGGGCATGCGCACTAATATTTATACATGATTTGCCCTGCGGGTCGATTTTCGTGGTTAAGTCAAATTCAGGTGCTGAACTATGTCGTCGATATTGCTCTGTTCTTCCTGGAGATATTCCAGAAGAAGAAGATTCTGTTGTAAGCCCGACAGCAGGGTGAGTAGCATTAGCAGCAACGGCGCCATTGTTGTTGTGATACTGGTCGCGCATGCGTGTTTAGAGGCGACGCTATGACGCATGCTTGTAAAAAAAAATATGCGGTTAGAGCGTAAAGATGGAAATGCGAAAACGGCGTTTCGAAATCTTCCCACTCTGAAGGCTGAATAAAAAAAAGATCGTTTACAGACCCCCGAAACGCCGGCTTCGTGTGGATGAGAGGCTGGTTTGGTGAAAAATTTGTGCGTTTAGGCCAGGGTTCGTCTTCGTGTGGACGGGGCCTTAGAATTCGTTATTTATAATTACATAGGAGCGGGTCTCGCAGCCATGGAGGCAGACATCTTTGCGCTACGGCAGCGCAGAGCCAACAAACTAGCGGTTGCGAGATCGACAAAATGTCACAACGATGTAGAAAAAATAACGGGTATATTTATTATCTTAAGTCTACATGAAATCTATACCCTACACAGACTAATGAAATACTATCTGTAAAATTATCTATGTAAACAAACCTCATCACTTGAGAAGGTAGGTGACGCGGACGTCGTGGAAGACATTTTGTCCCGTAACGCTCGCCGTACTGTTGGGGGGGAGAAGCGGTGGGGGGGAGATGTTCATGTTGCTGCAGTCTGCAGTCTGACCGCTAGATGTCGCTAAAAGTTACACACTGTAGCTTTAAATAGACTTAGACTTAGATTTTATTTGTCAAATATAGAACTGACCCTAACTAATAATATATTACTGACTAATATAGAAATAGAATGGAAAATCCCTTTATTGTTCCACAATAGGTAAATTCTGGTGTTTCCAGCAGCAAAAAGATTATAAAAAAATTGTCACACAAATATGGACCTTAGAAAAATGTATAAGAATAGCGATCACAGAATAATAAAATACTGTACGGTAAAGTGTTCTAATAATATAAAAAAACTGCACCTGGAGAATAAATAACCGTTATATAGCTATTGACATTTTTACAGTAATGGATATTTGAAAATAGCAGCAAAATCAGCATGTTATATAAATGGCAGAGGTAGAAACTGTTATATTGCAAATAAAATACTTTGTGGTATGTTGTTTTAATGCATTTATATTGAAAAATAAACAATATAAAATGTTAAAGTTTAGTCACAAATATGATAGAAATATAAATGGTAAATTGTTTACACCTATAAAGCACTTTATTAGGTCATAGGACCGCAAAGTCCTTTGCGCTACATTTAGTCATTCACCCACACATGCACATGCTGATGGTGGCAAACAAAATTGAAGCCACAGCTGTGCTGGGGCAGGCTGACAGAACCAAAGCTGCCATACTTTGCTGCTATGGGCCCTCTGACCACCAAGAGCAAGCAATGGGGGTGGAGTGCAAACACTGTAAGAGATGAGTGGAGCACAGGCTCCAATGGGCCACATAGGTCTATATAAATACATTATTATTGAATGCCTCTAAAACGAGCCTGTCATGAAAACCTTAAACAGTAGTCTCCAAAATAGACATCTGATTGCTTCACCTGTGTTCCACTTTATCATCTGAATTTATAAAACAATATTAATAATTTTCTTCAGGTTATTCTAAAAACTCGATCTGACATTATTTTCAGAGAAGCAACATTAGTTAATAAATCCAAGATATTCCCTTGGTCTGGCTCCACCCATCAACATTATAACTAGATTGTTAAACTTTCATTTATTGCTTTCATGGAGACCAACACCAGTTCACACCTTATATCCCCGTAAGGCCCACATTTGTACTCTTGTTTTTTTTTTAAAGGCGCCCAGGTGGCATGTGATTTATTCTTTATTAGGGGAAGCAAGAGTGACCTGCCTCATCTGTTCCTGCTTGGCTGTGATACCATCCTGGAGAGAAATATCAGCTGTGCTGCTGCCATCAAGACCTTTGTTTATAGGTGTTGGAGAACGGCCTGTTTTTCTAGTGTAGTCCTGTTTCTCTGACTGGCTGGATGTGCTCTTCTCATCCTCCATCATGGGAGCTGGCTCGGAGCTCGTCTCCTTGGCTGTGTGTTTCCTGAACGGGGCTGCCTTTTACAGCTGCTTTTTTTAAAATCTCTGC